TTTTTTTTTTTTGGCTACACAAGTAACGTTATTTAACTTACATAAGCTAACTGACGCAAGTAACGTTATTTAACTTACATAAGCTAACTGACGCAAGTAACGTTATTTAACTTACATAAGCTAACTGACGCAAGTAACGTTATTTAACTTACATAAGCTAACTGATGCAAGTAACGTTATTTAACTTAAGCTAACTGACGCAAGTAACGTTATTTAACTTACATAAGCTAACTGATGCAAGTAACGTTATTTAACTTAAGCTAACTGACGCAAGTAACGTTATTTAACTTACATAAGCTAACTGACGCAAGTAACGTTATTTAACTTACATAAGCTAACTGACGCAAGTAACGTTATTTAACTTACATAAGCTAACTGACGCAAGTAACGTTATTTAACTTACATAAGCTAACTGACGCAAGTAACGTTATTTAACTTACATAAGCTAACTGACGCAAGTAACGTTAACTTAAGCTAACTGACGCAAGTAACGTTATTTAACTTACATAAGCTAACTGACGCAAGTAACGTTATTTAACTTACATAAGCTAACTGACGCAAGTAACGTTATTTAACTTACATAAGCTAACTGATGCAAGTAACGTTATTTAACTTAAGCTAACTGACGCAAGTAACGTTATTTAACTTAATAAGCTAACTGATGCAAGTAACGTTATTTAACTTAAGCTAACTGACGCAAGTAACGTTATTTAACTTACATAAGCTAACTGACGCAAGTAACGTTATTTAACTTACATAAGCTAACTGACGCAAGTAACGTTATTTAACTTACATAAGCTAACTGACGCAAGTAACGTTATTTAACTAACATAAGCTAACTGACGCAAGTAACTTTTTTTCAACTAAAATCCTGATCTTTTCCTAAACCTAACCAAACCGCGACGCAACGTTAACGCCTACTTTTATTTTGAAAGTCTCACCAGAGCCCAACATGTCAAATAAAGGACACTAAAGGAGTACCCAAGGTGATACAAAACAATTGGAAATGTGATATGAATATATCATATATTTAAAAATATGAAAGCAGATTCACAAAATGGCTGTTATGTACGTTAGTTTGCGCAGACGAAAGGTGGATCATGAGTTAGAGGTAGTTGAGTTTTAGGTGGAGAGCAGGATCTGTTGTTTTCTTAAAATCCCATAAATAAAATGTGGAATTTGTGAATCAGGTGATGAGAAACTGTGGCACAGAGGAATAAGATGAATCAGGCTTTGATGCAAACACACAGGACCTTTTCATTTTATTGTGAAACCGTAGACACAGGATCAAAGAGTGAGGAAACTCTGCTCAGCATTGACCTTCTGTTGTGTGATGCCGGGATCCAAATATAGCAGTTCGACACAGTAATACAGCAACAAGCAACATGTGTTGAGGTAAATACCTGCCTCTCACAGGCCATCTGCAGACCTGGATAATCCCTGTTAGAAGATTAGAGACGCAGAGAGGAAACTCAGCCGCACACAGTCAACGCCAGTGAAGGAATATCACGTTTACTGTTGACATGTTTTTGGACTTGTGGAAGCTGGGAGAGAGGTTTGGCTTTGCTTTTGGTGGTGACAAGTCTGACGTTTTTATTGTGAAGGAATGAATAGAAGAAGTCACGTGGAGCTGCTGAAAGTTTTAATTGTGGCTGACTGAAGTTTTTAAGCTGTTATGTGGATGTTGAAGCCAAATCTGAATCTTCACTGTGAAGTATTTTGAGCTTTTATTGTGAAAGGTCGACTTTCTGTGTACGTGTCTTGAACCCATTTTGAGGACAGCTGGAGCATGTTTGAGCTTTTGAGCACTGGCTGTTGTTTTTCAACCAGTAGCGGTCAACACAAGTTTGTGTTGTTACTCTGAAAGACTCTTTTTGTGAATTGTTTTATTGTGAAAAATTACATTTTGTGGATTTATTTTGAAGCTGTGTACAGGTGTTTATTCAATATTGCTATGTTGAGTTAAAAAACACAAATTTTACTGCGAAGTATTGAAACATTGAGGGTTTTTTTGAAGACCTGAAGCTTTTTCAAACATTTATTTGCTTGAACTCTGGGCTTTTACTTTGAAGGAATCACCAAACGTAGCTCCTTTTTCACATTAAGGATCAAAAATCGGGTTTAATAGGTTTTTATTTTAAGGAAATACCTTTTTTTTTTTAAAGGACTGATTGCTGTTTGGACATTTATTGTGAAGCTGAGTTGAACTTGAGGGGAAAAAACATACAAGGGGCTTTTATTATGAAGGGTTGGAAGGGCTCTAGGGCTTTTGTTGTGAAAAGATGGTTAATGAGGGAATAGTTTTTGTCATGTTCATCGTCTCGGATCTGTCCTGAGGACGGACATCTAACAGCCAATCAGCCGTCAGGACAAGATGATTTCATATGTGGAGTGTCTGGGCGGTGAGGGGGCGGGGCCTGGGGGGGCGTCGCACTGCTGGAACGGGGGTCCCGATGACGAGCGGGACGAGCTTCTTCCACGCAAGATGGTCGTCCTGCAGCCCAAGACGGAGGGCAGCCTGCGTCGTCGCCTCCTCAGCGCCAAAATCCACCAACACCACGACGCCATCTTGGGGCTGAATGCAGGTGGTGCCGCCAGGCCTGGGATGCCCTCAGGTGACAGAAAGCCCCTCCCACCTCACCTTCAGTATCCAGGCAACAGCCCCTGGTACCGCCGCCAGCACCTCCCGCCACGACCCCACGTCCACCCTTCTCTTCCTCCGGAGGCTCACGGGAAACTTTTTCTCGCTCCTGAAGCTTACAGGAAGCCCAACACGCCACCCCCACCGCTCCATCCGCCACGCTCCACCTGCCCGGTCCTCACCCAGCGGCGCAGAACCACGTCAGCGCCCCCCACCCCTGAGCCCCGCCCTTGCTACACCCTGCCCGCCCCCTCGCCTCCCATCGGACCGCATCCCTCAGGGAGCCCGAGGTCCCGCCGCAGTACCGCTACCGGCCCAGCAGGAGGCGCAAGACAAGCTTCTTCTGCTTCAGACCCCGCCAAGGGAGGAGCTCCGGGCTGGAAGCCACACAAACCACGCCCCTTCTACGTAGAGGTACTGCAAGGAATTCTGGGTAGTAGGTTATGTGTTTGTGTGGACTGTCTTGGTGTAGTACTACTACTAGTACTTCTAACACTACAAGTACTGGTCTTTCCCAGCTGGTGTAGCTCTGTTTGGTCCTGAATGGTCCCCGTGCTGCCAGCTGCCATTATTTGGCCCAGTTTAGTCCTGAACGATTCCAGTTAGCCTAACGTGTCTCTGTGTGGTCCCAAGTGTCCCCAGCTACCCAGGTTTTACTCTGTCCGGTCCTTAGTGGCTCCAGATTTGTTTTTGTTTAGTCCTGAATGTTCCCAGCTGCCATTATTTGGCTCAATTTGGCCCTGAATAATTTCAGGGCCTAGTCAGGTTGACCGAACATGGTCCTGAATGGTCCTAATCTAGCCTAGTTTGGACTTTTCGTGGTCCTGAATGTTCCCAGCTACCCTAACGTGACTCTTTGTGGTCCAGGTTTGTTTCTGTTTAGTCCTGAAAGTTCGTAGCTACACTTTATTTGGCTCAGTTTGGGCCTAAATCATTTCAGGCTCTGTGTGGTTTTGAATTATCCTAGCTAGTCTGGTTGGTCCTACTTGGTCCTGAATGGTCCCAGCTTGAGCTATGTTTGGTTTTACCAATCCCATCTAGCCTAGTTTGGCCTTTTAATGGGTCCTGAATGTTCCCAGCTGCCATTATTTGGCTCAGTTTGTCCCTGAATTATTTCAGCTAGCCTGGTTAGCCATGTTTTGTTTTTGATTCGTCACATTTTCCTGGATCTGTGTGTGTGCGGTCCTGATTGGTCCCAGCAGAGCTTGTTATTTGTCACAGCAGGAGCACCTGAAGTGGAGCTAATGACATTAATGAGGTTTACATTTTAATTAAGTTATCGCTAACGTGACACACGTCTGCTGTGAAACGGGTCTGCTGCCGAGCTTCTTCATCAGAGCTGCTCTGTGCCTGCAGATCTGATAACTCTGTGTGTTACTGTCTCATCAATAATGAATCGCTGCTCTGATAAGAGGCAGAACACAGTAAAGCTAACTAACACACACTGACTCTCTGTGTTCTCCACTAATTAGCTCCCCTGTGTGTAGAATAATCTCCTGTGTCTGTGGGAGGGGATTAGCTGCAGCTACATGCGCTAGGCTAACGGCTAATTCCTAAAATGGCAGATGAACAGGCTTTACAGCAACAGCTGCTACCTGCTAGCTGCTAGCTTCACCACTGGTGCCTGACTGTCTCCATGACGTCAATCTAAAACAGGAAGTTGGATTGATTTTAGACCGTAAAGTGATCCGGTCTGAGACGTGAAGCCGCTTTCCTGAGGAGTTTATGGTTTCAAGTCTTCAACCCAGCATGATGTTCATTTAGTAAATTATGGTCCCATTTAGAGTATCTGTGATTGACAAGTCGTTACCATGGCGACCTGTCAATCGGGCTACAGTGACTCGGCGCTGTGTTTAACCAGCGCCGTTGAAAAAGCTTATTAGGAGTCGGCTGTTCACTTTCTCAGCCCTGTTAAAATGACGCTAACGCGAGTTACAGATGCACCTAGCTAAACAAGCTAGCTAGCTCCGCACACGGCCGTTAGCTCCGCCGTCTCGTCCAAATATGGTCACGTCCGGTGCCGCTGGTAGCAAAAACCCAACATGGCGGCGCCCTATCGGTCAAATTCGAGCCTTCAAAGCGGCAGTCCACAAACCAGCGGGTGACGTCACCATGACTACGTCCACTTCTTTTATACAGTCTATGGTCATGGTCACACAGGAAGTCCCGCCCCCCGCTCATCTGATTGGACAGCAGAGAAACAGATCTTTTTCTTATCAGCTCAGAGTTCAGAGTTGAACATGTTGTTAACTATAAATATACACAGTGTGGCGTAACGACAGCGCGGCCTACTTACTGTCTAATTAATTAAACTAATTAAAACGGCGGCGAGGTGGCGACGGACAGACGGGCTGTCAGGAATGAAGACACGATTAATTAGCTGCTCCAATGGCCCAGATAGTTGGCACACTTACAGACGGGAGCTGTCCCAGTTTGACTGGTGATGAAGGTGATGATGAAGGTGATCCTCAACCCCATCAACCACCATAACAGCTGCGCGTTACCATGGAGATTAATGGTGCAGTAACAGTTGCAGTACAGGTGTATTATTATCAGGTGCTACGTTTTCAAGCACCCCTGATATGTCCTCAAGGACCTCTGGTACCTTCTCATGCACCCCTGATATGTCCTCAAGGACCTATGATACATTATCAAGGACCTGTGGATCAACCTCAAAGGCTTAAATACCCTGCCCAAGCACCCACGGACCTCCTCAAGGACCATTTAAACCTCCCCCAGGACCTCTTGTACCTTCTCATGCACCCCTGATATGTCCTCAAGGACCTCTTGTACCTTCTCACGCACCCCTGATTTGTCTTCAAGGACCTCAGATACCTTTTCAAGGATCTGTGGAAAAGACTTAAAGACCCCCCAAGCACCCACAGACTTCCTCAAGAACCATTTCAGGACCTCTGATACAATTAAAGGATCCTTGAAGCCACTTCAGTGACTCCAGGACCCTCCTTAATTTCATTCCAGTCCCTAACGTTCGTCCCGGACTTGCAAACTAGCGGCGAGAGGTGGAAATGGCGTGTCCTCGTTCGGTTTGGTCCTCACAAAGTTAGAAATGCGAGAACAGAAGAACACAGACGGAGAACACAGAGAATAAAAGATGAACGCTCACACTTTCTTCATCTCCCTTCATCTACAAAGCCTCATGATTCACGGTTCGTGTGTGTGTTTGTGGGTAACCTTCATCACCTGGCGACACACATGAAGGACACACTTGTGTGCTGGCTCGCTGCCAACATGGTGTGTGTGTGTGTGTGTGTGTGTGTGAAATAAAGAAAGGGAGAGAGCGAGTGGCGAGTACAGACGGGAGAGCGAGGGGAGGAGACGCTGCATTACTGCTGCTGCTCTGTCTGCTGCAGCCTCGGCGGTGTGTGTGTCCTGCTTGTGTGTGCGTGGCGTCGTCATGGTTCTGATCGGAGCGGCGATCAAGTCCGTCCTCAGATATCTCAACAAGACCCGAGGTGAGTGTGTGATTTAATATCTGCTGCTGGGCGAGAGAGCATCACCTGTGTTATACAGAGAGAGAGAGAGAATGGTAGTTCTCTAAAGACGACCTCCATAGAACGCAGCTCTCTGATTGGCTGTCTGGTGTACGTTAATGGCTTAACCACCTTCCTAAATCAGAGCTCAAGGTGTGTTAGACTGCAAGTAACCATAGCAACAATGCAGAGACCTGACTCAAGGACCACTGGAACCTCCTCAAGGACTCCAGGATCCTCTTCAAGGGCCTTATAACCAACTCAGTGACCATCTGAGCATCTTTAAAGACCACTGGTACTTCTCAAGGCCCATTTGGGTCTTCTCCGGGACCTGTAAAACCATCTCCAGGACCATTTGAGTCTTCTCTAAGACTTGAAGCACCCTCTTCAGACCCTTGGTACATCCTCAAGGAACATTTGAGCCTCTTTAAAGACCTCAGGGACTTCTGAAGGACCATTTGGGTCTACTCAAGGACCCAAAACACCCTCTCCAGGACCCTTGGTACCTCCTCAAGGAACATGTGAGTGTCTTGAAAGACCTGTGGGACTTCTGAAGGGCCCTTGGGGTCTTCTCAAGCACCCTATCCAGGACCCTGAGGACCTCCTCAACTAACATATCAGGCTCCTCAAGGATGTACCTTATCAGCAACCCTGGGACCTCTACAAGTACTATTTGAACTTCTCTCAAGGACTCAGCCTTGAAACCCCTTAAAAAGAACCCAAACAACCAGTTCTCCTTCTCAAGGACTGGTGGTACCTTCTTACAGACCCATCTAACCCCCTGAAGAACCTGTGGAACCTCCTCCAGGACCCTTGGAACCTCCTCCAGGACCATTTGAACCTCCCAGAGGACTCCTGGTACCTTCTCAGCATCAGCAGCAGCAAAATTATTGTTTAAAACGTCTTTAATTCCCACTAATTAAATTTCACTCTTCATTGACAGTTTATACATGTAAACGAAGACAGAGGTGTCCTCTCTCTTCCAGTGTTACTCTCGCTGTGACAGACCTGATGGTTCTTGAATAATTACCGTGAAAGCGCGGAGACGCACGTGTTGAGTGAGCTCTGAGGCTGCGACAGCTGGTCAATAATCAATACGTGTGTTTATGACGTGTGATCAGTGTCTCTGAGGGGGTCTGAAGCCTTCAGGAGGCTGAAATGTGAATATCAGATTTAATTTTTCTGACTTCAGTTTAAAAATGATCTGATTCTGTTTATCAGGAGCAGATCTGGTAGATTAGAGCCGAGGAAGCGATCGATGGATCAGACCACATCAGCCAAAACAGATTAAATCCTCACAGCGAGACGGCTTTAAATTCATCAAAGCGACCCGTGTCTCTACTTTAACGTGTCAAATGGTGGTTTGTAGTACTGCGGTGGGTTTGACCAGTGGTGGACAAAGTATTCAGATCCTTTACTGAAGTAAAGGTATTAATACCATACTGTTAAATACTCTGCTGCAAGGAAAAGTACTGCATTGAAAATGTTGCAAAGGAAAAGTATGTAAGTATATAATCAGGAAAATGTATTAAAAATAAAAGTAGTTAGTGTCCACCGGTGTTTCTGAGCGGCCTCATGAGGAGTTGTGTTTTGTAGTTTAGTCACTGATTAAATCCTCCGAACGCCAAAGTTCTTCCTTTGTCTCTCTAGATTCATGATAAATGAGTTTGTGAAATATGTCGGCGCTAAACTGCAGTAAGCTGACACTCTGCTTCACATCTGTCCGCACATCTGTCCTCTAGATACCGCTGCTAATCAGTCTGCTGCTCCTTCACAATAAAAGCCCTGTGAGGTGACCTTGAGGAGTGCTGATCGTCTCCGTTTCTGTGTGAATCTGCTGAAACCAGATTAAATACGCTCACTGCGCTGTGCTCTCTGTCTCTGCAGCCGGGGACGGGGACAGCAAGTGGTCTGTGCGCTACACTACCCAGAAGCCCCAGCAGGGTCTGCTCTTCATCCCCGGGAAAAGACGGTCCGGCAGCGCAGATGATCTGCAAGGTCAGAGGTCAACGGGGAGGAACGGTGGTAATTAATCCAGCACGAACACACACGCTGTAGTTTACTCTGAGCAGCACCTCATGTGGATTCATTCATTCAAAAAACTACACTGAAGTGTTACCCAGGGCGTGAAGACGCGGCGCCAAGGGGTCTTGACCAAGCGTCTATATGTGAGGAGGTGGAGTCAGAGTGTGTTGGAGTATAAAGTCATTTTACACTACATTTCAGGGAATACTGCACTTTTTACTGCAGAATATAATTATGGCTTTATTATAAATATCATGATTTATTCAGAAAGTCATTAAAACGAGCTGCAGGATTAAAGCGATGAACACGTTAATGAATCACTAATCTAATCTATATTATTGTAAAGGGGCCGTTCTGCATGATGCTGCACAGTTTTCAGATCCGTTATTTGCGTCACATTTGACACCTTGGATCCTGATGAACAGACATTTAAAAGCTCTTATTCTGGTGTGTCTCTCACTGATTAATTCGACTATTGAACGCTGAGAGCTGCAGGGGTCTGCAGACTGCATCACAGCAGCTGCAGTGCCACATGTCAACCCCCCCCCACCCTCCTCGCCTCCGCCGCCACAGTTCCCAGACAAAGGACTTCCTTTCATTTCAGCTGTCTTGATTAATGCTGAATAGACTGTGTTGATTAAGAGGAATCCGCATCAGAAGCTCACACCTTTTCAGCTGATTCATTGATTTACTGCAGTAAAACACCGTAATTATTTTCTTATCTTAAGGTAAAGAATCAAAAAGGTGTCTGGAATATTGACTGATTCTTTGCATTAGATGTCTTATTGATTATTGGCTATATGAGCCTGTTTAGTGTCTCATGGAGCTTCTGTTCTCTCATATGTGTGAATGTGTGTGTGTAGTGTCTAACAGGCTGACTCAGCATGGTTACAGCCGACCCGGCAGCTCGCAGCCCCGCCCACCGAGTCCATCCTCCTCTGGGCTCGACCAATCAGAGGGCAGAACTACACGCCGGCGGTGGAAGGACAAAAGCAGGCGGATGGTTTGTGACACACAAACACATGATATTGATATGCATACAGTGTTGACTCATGAATATTAATGAGGCTTTTTCCCTCTTTCATACAGGAGACATGTATATGACGCAACATTACAAATTCAATAGCAAAATGTACTTTAAGTATTAAATAACTAATTTTGGAGAATCGTTGCTGTCATAGTGGGTCTGTTAAATATAGTTTTTTACATAAACATATGTTTGTTGTAGTAGTTTTGTGAGAATATGTCGGTCTGTTCTGTCTCATGAAACAAGACAAAATAAGGCAGGTTGCAGTGTTAGATTTATGAAAAACAGGTTAAAACGTTCCTACTAGATTACATTTTCATGTTTAACAAGAAAATAAAATGTATCTCCAAAATGTCAACAACAGCCCCGTTTCCAGCTTCGTTCCAACGCTCTTTTCATCAAATGCAATGTGTTTTAATGTGTTTTGTTTAGCTTGGTTGAGAAAGAGGAGTTTTCTCAACACACATACTTTAAAGTAAGTTAAATGTAGTGGAGTAGTAGGAGAAAATTGAAGTAACTCAAAACTGAAGTACTTACCTGTGGTGTAAAGGTGGGTTGGCTCTCTGACACGAATCAGAGTGAACTATTAAATTTATATACCAGCAGATGTCGTCATTGTTTAACAAAGAGTCTAATTTCTCGTGCTCGCTCATTTACGCTTCTTTTATTCATTTCTTTTTTCCACCCCTGTTCCATCTCTACTGTTTTCCCTCCTCTCAGAGGGCCAGAGTCCTGGACTTTCTCACTCAGTCCTGCTTTTCAGTTTGTTTCAAGTTTTCAGTTTGGAGGAGAAAGGTAACCATGGATGGAACTGGACTCAAGTAGACTAGAATGAACTAGACTAAACTAGAGTGCTATCCTAGTCACACCCAACTAGGCTTCACTAGACTCTACTAGGATAAAACCAGACTTAACATGGTTTAAATCTGACCCCTCCATCTTAAACTAGACTCTACTGTGGTTAAACTTGACTTGACCAAGCTAAAATACAGTTAATCCCAAACTTCTGGGGTACAACTAGACTCTACTAGGATAAAACCAGACTTAACATGGTTTAAATCTGACCACTCCATCTTAAACTAGACTCTACTGTGGTTAAACTTGACTTGACCAAGCTAAAATACAGTTAATCCCAAACTTCTGGGGTACAACTAGACTCTACTAGGACAAAACCAGACTCTACTGGGTTTAAATCTGACCACTCCATCTTAAACTAGACTCTACTGTGGTTAAACTTGATTTGATCAAGCTAAAATACAGTTAATCCCAAACTTCTGGGGTACAACTAGACTCTACTAGGACAAAACCAGAATCTGACCCCTTCATCTTAAACTAGACTCTACTGTGGTTAAACTTGATTTGATCAAGCTAAAATACAGTTAATCCCAAACTTCTGGGGTACAACTAGACTCTACTAGGACAAAACCAGACTCTACTGGGTTTAAATCTGACCCCTCCATCTTAAACTAGACTCTACTGTGGTTAAACTTGACTTGACCAAGCTAAAATACAGTTAATCCCAAACTTCTGGGGTACAACTAGACTCTACTAGGACAAAACCAGACTCCACTGGGTTTAAATCTGACCACTCCATCTTAAACTAGATTCTGCTGGGGGTGAACTTGACTTTACCAAATGAAAACAGTGTAATGAAGTTAATTCCACACTACTGAGGTTCAGCTAGGTTATACTAGGATAAAACTCTACTGGGGTTAAACGCCACTCTACCAGGTAACAGAAGAGGCTTATGAGTTTAAACTTTCAAGTTTTCCTGTAGGGTGGTATGTAATACCTAAATGTTGTGTTGTTGTGCTGTGTCTTAGTGTGGTACAAAATGTTGTACCTAATGATGTTGTTGTGATTGGTTCTTATTGTTGCTTGGTTATCTTTTAGATCCTGTTATCTGATCCTGTCTTGATTAGGTCTCACTTGTAAAAAAGGTTTTAACCTGAATGTGACTTCCTAGTTAAATAATGGTCATATAAATAAAATTTAAGTGTTTAAACTTAAACTACAAGGCCCACCTACAATTAATCTACACGCGCCACTGGGGTTAACACTACCACGTAGAACCAAACTACACTAGGGTTAAATTAAACCTTGTTGCTGTTAATCTGGACTCCATTGGGTTAAACCAGACTCCACGAGATTAACCTACACATGGCGGTTTACCTGACTCTTTCAGGCAGGGCTACACTGGATTTATCTGGTGAGAAACTTAACTCTACAGAGTTTGACCTGGTAAACTCTGAGGATTACACTATGTACTGTTGGACCAACTGGTGTTAAAGTAGTCCATGTATTTAAACTTGACACCAGGTTTCATCAGGCAAGACCAATCTATCCTGTGTTCAAGGTTGTCCCATGTTAAACCATACTTGGTCTTAAATGTGACTCTGCTGTGGTTAAACCTTCCTCTACAAGCTTAAACTGCAGTTCACTGGAGTTAAACTTGACTCTTTCAGTTTGTGTGTGTGTACTCAGTCCTCAGCTTTCTCGGATGAAGACGAGAAGTTTATCTTGAACAACACGCGACCCCTGACCCCACTGGTCCTCAACCCGGTCCACCGCACCTCCTGTTGGGATGTCTTTGCCCCCACCTACGAGCCAGCGGTCGAGGATGAGATGGAGCCGCCCCCCCGGCTTCCAACACCGGAGGAGAGGATGAGGCAGCAGGCCGAGGCAGTCGCAGCTGACATAGTCCCTATCAATATAACAGGTAGGTAACTGGAGTCAGATCTATATGTGAGATTCAACTTATCCTTAAAGAGGCCTTTATTTGATACAGGACTCAACTCTCGCTTGACACTCGACTCAGACTTGAAAGTCTATGTCAAGTATCAACTTGATTTGGATTTGAGACTCTACTTTGGGCTTTACTCTGACTTGAAACTCAACTTGGAAAATTAGGACTTAGAGATTTAACGCAGACTTTGGACTCACATGGGCCCTGAAACATGACTCAGACCTGAAACTCGACTCCAACACCGGACTGAAGTCAGATTTTGAGAGTTTGACTCTGGCTCAGTACTCCAGCGGACTTGGAACCTTTTAAACTGACATCTCTTGTTCCACTAATTCATTGACTAAGAGGGGTTTGTTGTGGGTGTTTTCATGCATACACGCACTTTAGGACAGAGTTTTGATCGTCAGGCCAGTTTTCGAAGAGTGGCTTCCAACGCGGACTCGTTATCCCGGCGCCCCCGGAACCTGAGCCGCTGCAAGAGAGTCACTGGGATGTCCGATGATGTCAACCGGAAGCTTGGTATAAGTTTCACCCTTTCATTATCCGTTCATCAATCACTTCTTGCAGCACTCAACCATTTGTTCACCTCTGTTTTGTGGCAAAGCATTTCTTCTCCTCTTCCTTTAACTCCTCTCTGTCTCTCCAGACTCGCCTTTGGTCTCTTTGGTTCTTCCTGTTCAGTTCTCCGCCGTGAGTCCACCTGCCCACCAACAGAACAGTACAGGGCAGGAGGTGAAAGAAAAGGAGAGGGGAGAAGTCAGACAGGAGGGGCAGTCATCAGTGAGGAGGATCCGAGCTCCAAGAGGGGAGGGGATGTCCAGCCTCATGGCCTCCCTTACCTCCTCTCCTCCTGTCAAACCCTGTCACGACCACGCCATCTCCTGCTGCTCATCCCCCTCGGAGATCCACAGCCTCCCCCGTCCGGGAACCAACTCGTCTCTGAACTCCGAGGCCAGCTGTAACAGCGCCTCCTACAGGACGCTCAGTGCCTCCTCATCGTGCTGCCAGGTCAGTTCAGGAGAAATTGTTGTCACAAGTAGCTCAGTGACTAAAACAAAAAGTAAGACTCTTTCCCTCTTTCCTGTTTTCTTCTCCTGTCACAGGATCTACAGGGTTTCCCCAGTGACCTCCAGCCCCTGCTGCCCTTTGACCCCACTGCCAGAGTCATCCCCCTGTCACCTTCCTCCTCATCCTCTTCCTTTCCTTCCTCCCCGGTCTCCTCCTCCCTCCCTCGCACCCCAAGCCGTGCTCTAAAATCAGAGTGGTCTTACCCCGGAGATAAGTCCCTGAATGAGGCTGCCCAACATCCCAGTTCCCGTTCCTCCTCCCAATACCTATCCTCTTCTTCCATCGCAGACTCAGAGTCTCAGTTTAGTTACCAGGATACCCAATGCTCCTACGATGAGGAGGCATGGAGCTACCGGCCCCTGTCCCGCAGCTCCAGCGTCCACAGCGGCATCACCCAGGAGATGAGGTGTCTTTCTGGGGAAGGTTGGAGCTGTGATCCCCTGCTCTCCTCCGCTCGCTCTTCGCCCTCTCACACTGACAGCACCTCTCTGTGTTCAGAGAAAATGACCTCCTCTCCCAGGCCAATGCAGGAGAAAAGGAAGTCCAGCACTTCCTCCTCCTACTCGTCTTCCATCACCCGCTGCATCTCCCTCCGCAAGTCCAAGCGGCCGCCTCCTCCGCCATTGCGCTCTGACTCCCTGAGGCGCCGTCCGGGTCGTAGCAAACCCTCCCGCTCCTCGTCCAGTCCCCGTGTGGAGCGGAGCCCCCTTCTGGAGCGTAAGCCCACCTCCTCTCCACAGGCCTTCGATGACCCCTGGGTGCCCCGGAGCAACCTCAGAAGACGCCAGAGTGGGCTTAACTGTGGGACAGTCACAACCTTTGAACCCTTAAGCCCGGACTGCCAGGCGGAAATCTCCTTTGACTATCCTCCGTCCGAGCACGTGCCGCCAAGTCCCAGCCCCTCCCACGCCGTCGCCCCTGGGTCTCCAGGCTCAGAGGAGGAGGGGCTAAGATTTACCCTAAACCCCCTTCCAGCTGGCTCTTCCGCGGCCGGGCTGCAGCGGCTCGCTTCGCCCTCTAGTGGCTACTCCAGCCAGTCTAACACCCCCACTCCAGGCACACCCGTGTCCTCACCCCTCACCCCCTCCTCTCCTCTCGCAGCAAGCCCGAAGCCTTCCCTCTCCCCGCGACCTCCCCCTTCTCCTCTTTACGCTCCTCTTCTTTCCCTCTGTCCCCTGCTGTCTCCTGCCTGCCCGGGACGACGTCTCGGGGCGAAGGGAGGCCAAAGCCGCCGGTGCCGAGAGGAAGTCATCACTCTTTTCCTCCCTCTCCTCCTCATTTTCCTCCACCTCCTCCCTCTCCTCCTGCACCTCCTCAGAATCCTCTGCCAGGCATCCACTTCTCCCTCCTCCTCCTCCTCCTCCTCTACCAGGATCTTCCTCTCCTCTGCCTCCTGTCTTCTACTCCCCCATTCACTCCTCCCCTCCTCCCGCTCCTCCCTTCCTCAGTCCTGCCCCCCTGCTCCTTTAACCAAACTCTCTGCTGCTCCTTCTTCTTCACCTTCTCTTCCTCCTCCCCCTCCCCCGCCTCCTCCACCTCCTCCTCCTCTACCACCTTCATCCCTCCCCATTCCTCCTCCTCTCCCGCCTTCATCCCTCCCTCCTCCACCTCCTCTTCCTCCTTTCTGTCGGCCTCCTCCTCCCCCCTACTCCCACGCCGTCAGGCAGACCTCCTTTGTGTCCACCATAACATCGTCAACCAACTTCCCTCCTCCCCCAACCTCCCCACCACCTCCTCCAATTCCTCCCTCTTCAGAAATCCCAGAATTCCCATTCGCTGACCTCCCTCCTCCCCCCCCACCACCACCTCTGCCTTCTCTCCCCGTATCCTCTGCCACCTCCTCCCCCCCCCCAGGCCATGGCAAGTCTCCAAATAGCTATTTAAACGTGGCCACGCCCCCCGGCCTCCTGGTCACTGCCCAAGCTTTGCAGGGCGTCAAGCTTCGTTCTGTCAAGAACCAGGAAGGCCCGCCCCCTGACACCATGCTAGCCAATGCTGCAGCTGCTAATGCTAACCATGCTAATACCATCTACGCTTTACCGAGCAAAGAAGCTTATGCATACAATGCTGCGTTGGCTAATGCTAATCTTGATTGCCCGACTAGCGCTGATGTTAAAGCAGTTAGGAATGGATTACAAAATGATCCAGGTAGCAATGAGGCTAACACAACTAGCATTAATGGGTAATTCTAGCCTTTATAGCCCAGCCAACGCTGATGGGCCTGCATGCAAGTCAGATTATGATTACTATAACCTAACAAAAAGTGAGGTGACGGCACCCGACGCTAAGTCATCTTATGCTAATCTTCAGAGCCAGCGAGGCGTCGTTGCTGTTCCAGCTAACCAGAACAGCTCTGGGCCTAAGCTGACCGATGGCGAAACTCCTCTAGACATCCAGTACAATGAACGAGAGAAGGAAGATACTAAGATGTATGCTACACTGGCAAACAATGAAGACTCCAGTCCTGACAATCCCTGGGTCAAAAGGTCTTATGATTCTGACAAAAACCACATCAACACAGTCATCCAGCAACAGATCACCGACAGTAAGCTGACTGAGCCTGCAGAGCAACAGGATGTTAGGCACAATGATTCTGCATACTGGACGCTCTCCGGAACAAAACGAGAGCCTCGAAGAAAGAACGGAACAATACTGTCGGAGAGCAAAGATGAAGTAGAGACAAATGACGAGAGTAATTCGGAAATGTGGAATCACGGTGCAGCTGATGGAGAATCTGCAGCACACAGTAACAGCGTCTGTAAGACAGGCAGCCCGAGGAAGCTCGGCTCCCCAGAGAAGCCGATTCCCCCAAAGAAGCCTGATCTTTGCATTCTGGGTAGCTGGAAGAGCAGTGGACAAATCACGGCGCCTTCCCTTGGGCTCAACGGCCAATCAGAATTTCCATCTGATTCCTTCCGCACACCTTTGCACACAACTCTGAGCCACTGTGCGCCTTCACCAAAGCTCTTGACGCGAACCACAGCGGACAAAACGGCAATTCCTGACAAGTCAGTGAGCGAAACAACTTCACCTGCGCGCTCAGTGAATGCTGCTGCTTCTTCGCCTGTAAACATAACGCCCGCCGACGTCGCCCCGCTCTCGCCCGCCGACGTCGCCCCGCTCTCGCCCGCCGACGTCGCTTCGCCCGCCAGCTCGCCTCACAGGCAGAAGCCACAGATTTTGCACAAGAAGCCAGATGTCTCACTGACGTCACCCAAAACAACCAAACCGCTCGTCGCATCTAAAAGTACAGGGGAGGCATCCATAGGGACCAGGGGCCCCTTGGGGAACTGTGGCCCCTCGGGAGTCATTGGTTTCGCAGAGACCCTGAGGATCAAAGGGGCTCCCAATATCGATGGAACCATGAGTACTTCGGAGAGCTGTGGTACCTCAGACACATGGGGGACTGTGGGGGCCTTTAGCACCTTAGAGAACTCGGGGGTCCATGGTGGTACTTCCAGCCACGCGGGGGGAGCCCAAACTGGAGCAACAGACCCCCGTTGTGCTGGAATCATCGGGACAAGACTTCATAAGGATGACGAGAAACTCTTTCAAATGAGGATGATGAGGTCACTGCTGGCTGAAGAGGAAGAGGAGAAAGAGAGGGTGGAAGAGAGAGGGAGGAAATCGGCCGCGATGATGATGATGATGATGTCGTCCACCTCAAGGAAAAGAGACAAAGCAAAGAAGAGGAGGAAGAGAAGGCCGGGCAGGCAACTGCTGATGATGTCATCGAAAAAGGAGCCATCTCCCTCTTCGTCGTCGTCGTCGTCATCATCTTCATCCTCATCTGGAGATGAACGAGACGGGGGGAAGGAGAGGACGAGGCAAACGAGCGAGAGGGTGAGGGTGACGTGCGATCGAGACACCAGCGACTCCGAAAGCTCCTGCTCTCTGATTGGTCAGAGCAAGTTCTCCCTCAGCAGAGCGCTGTCCACGGAGAGCCTGGGGGGGGGGCTGTCACTTCCAGACCTCCTGATACAGGAGGAGGAGAGGAGCAGTGAGGGAGCAGAGAGGAGAAGAGAGGAGGTGAAGGAGGCTGGAGGACCCCCAGATGGTAAGTCCTGTTTACTGGAGTCCAGCTCGTGCTTGTTTATCTGTTAGTACATCATTTATCTGACTGAGATCTGACTGAAACAACAGGATCCTGGGACCAGCTGTTCCTCCTGAAGCCCATGATGTGGACCCACAATGACCTGATTTAATCCGCGTGCAGACTGAGTCGTACAGGGAAGGTTTTACATTAGTGATGAATCCCCCTCAGGCAGGAAATAGCCTAATTTTACGCATCATCCATAATAAAGATATAGCAAAATGGAAATTCTTTGCAAAAATAGCACATTTCACATATGGTGTTCTCGGGAAGCCCGTGTCCTCCCCCCGGCTCCCGGTAGTTTGCACCCTCAGTACCAGATATCAGGGTCAGTTCTTCCATAACTAATCATATTTTGAATTGTTGCCCCCCAATCACTGGGTGTGCTGCTCTGCCGGCTGCTGGTTTATACTCGTTTTATTCTAATTCATAGTTTTCTGAAAGAGAAAAGTAATAAAGCGTTTGAATCGTCTCTCTGTTTCTCAGCTGACGTGTTCGTCGGTGTTTCGGCGGACCAGATGTGCGTCTCCAGTCGACCTCGAACCACAGAGGACCTGTTTGCTGTCATCCACAGGTAGGAGCACGCTGCACACGCCCCGCACGCTGCTGCCGTACCGACCGTCAGCCCGTTCTCATGAGTCTGCTTCATTCCTCTCTCTGCCTCTGTGGAGCAGTGCGGTGTGGGAAGGCACAGCGTGAATGCCCCGGCAGGCGGGGTTTGGCCTCAGGTAAAGACCGGTGTAGTGGATGGAGTCTAGTCCCTGACCCTGGGTAATCCAGTGACCTTCCCTCCTCCCTTGTTCCCCAAATAGGAAGCTTTTTTGTTTCTTGTACCTTAGATGGAAACTTCCTGTCTCCTTGTTCCCTAATTTGAAACCGTCTGTTTTCTTTTTGCACAAAGTTTCTTCTTTCTCTCTCCCAGTTCGTCACATATGGACGCTCGGTGAAGACTTTTCGCTTTATAGCACCCTTTAGCGCAGGTAGGGCTCCGCGGTCAAGTCAGCAACAACAAATACGCAACCTCCGGTTAGACTTGTTGGATGGCAGAAAGTTTTTTGCAGCTATATTCACCCCAAAGTTTAGGAAGATCAGATCTGTGGTTTCTAAAGACGCGATGGAGATGCTGTTTGGATTATTTGGTTCACGTTACTGTAACTTACAAAAAACACTACCTTCAATAAAAACAGTGTCAACTTTCTGTTTCACGGGGATCGAGTACCGGCCTCCTGGGTGAAATAAACACTACAGGCCCTCGCCCAGTACGTCACGAACCGACGCCAAGGGGTCTTGACCATGCGTTGGTCGGTTCCGCCTTTGTTGTTCCCCGACGAGGCTGCTTCTTAAACCGGAAACCTCCTTAAATCTCGTTTGTTTGTTTGTTTGTTTGTTGTGTGGTCACCCAGTAGTCATGTTTTTGCTCGGCTTGGGTGCCTTGCTCGGGGGCAGCTTCGATGTGACGGGTGTTTTTCTGTTTGTCTCAGGTCAAAGAGGAAGATGCTAGGAAGAAGGGATTCAGAAGACGAGAGACGCCGTGTCTCGTCTTCGTCGTCCTCCTCGTCCTCCCCTTCAGTCTCCCCACCGACCCCTCGCCCCGTCTGCAGCGGCCCGGAGCCTTCAGAAGTCAAAGATCAGCGAGAAGCGAAAGCTTTAAGGCTCTCCTGCTCAGGAAGGGAACTCGGGCTGATTCGTCTTCTCGAATCTCTGCTGTCGAGCGGCTCCGCGTCGCTGCGTCTCCTACGACCACCGCCGACCTCCGCAGTGTGCTGCCACCGCCACCAGTCCAGCCCGAAGTCAACCCCGCAGGCTTGTCCCAAACCTCGGATACATGTGATTTGAATGTCCACCGTGCTCTGGACACACCAGCGTCTCTCTGCGGTCAGAACTTCTCCATGATGTTCGGATGGAGGCGACGGGATCTGATGCCTCATCACCCCCTCCTCACCTCCTCCTCCTCTCCCTTCTTCTTCCTCTCCTCATCCTCCTTGCGACCTCGCTCGCTCACGCCTCCCTGCTCCTCCAGCCGACGCTTTGCCGCTCGCTGCCGCCTCTACGCCGCCCCCATGACCGCCATCTTTGAAGGAGAAGCGAGGAGGAGGAAGACGACGGGGTTTTCAGCGAGTCTCCGGGAATCGAAGGAGGACCGAGTCAGAGGCTGGTCGAGACTTCCTGATGGACAGGCCAAGTTAAAGACGCCGCTCGGGTTCAGCAGGAAGTAAACAGAATGTGACGACGGACACGTCGCACCAGAAGCGTTTAATCGAATGTACTGAAGCACACTCTCTGTTAAAGGACGCGTCTCTCGTAGCAACACTGACGTGAAGCCTGAAGAATCTGATCTCCAAGAAAACAAACTTGTTGCGACGACACAATAATTTGCTGGTGATCAGAAAAGTAACACCTGCAGTTAATGTACTTTCAGTTAAACTGCCGTAATTATGTTCTTATGTTCTAATTTTGTCTTTTGCTTGATTTAGCGTTGTCTTTTTTCACTATTTGCAAGGACATAAATTAAATTTTTGTTTGACTTGTTATATTGTCTCACACTAGTAAGAGGCATCTAAATTCAAAACCATCCATGTTCTCTCTGACACAACACAACTTTTAACCGAAGAGGATGTGGAATTATTTTCATTTGATTTAATTTGAGATATAAAAAAGTGGTTTTCTTGAGATCACAGAGTAAATGTTACAGTAATTATAATAGTATGATGATAATAATAACAATAATAATATTTAAGCAGCCATATTACAAGTTTTACTACACGCCACATTGTAATGACTGACAGGGTGCAGCATCCAAATCCATACAATTCTATCATTGAAAATCAAGATCAAAGATTGTAATGACATTAAGCAATCAGCACTATTAAGTTTGTAAATCTCATTTAACAATAAATATCTAACAGGAGAAGCATAAAGCATTAAAGATGCTGAACCCTGATTTAATATTTTAACTTTGAATGGGAAGTAAATGCATTAGAAGTGAAATTAGCATCTCATTTGTTCTCACCAGCTACATAGATCGACACTATAATTAATAAGGGATGTACTTTGTCCTGTACTGTAAATAATCCTTTGTTTATGTTGCTGCTTCTCCATCTAAACGAGTCACCGAGCCTCAAGTCTTTTTTTTTTTAACAAGTTAGCAGGTAGTGAGACGACATAACGGTCAAAGACGATGTACATTTTTAAGGTTCAGACTTTAGGAACTTAATTATCTTTCCTGTGCGAATGTTATTAACCATAAAACTAATACAGTGTAACTGGAATTATGAGACGAGCGTGAGAAACTGAACGAAAAGCTCTTTTGTACGTCGGAGAAAAATGAGAAAGATGGAAATCAAGAAGCAGGAAAATGGAAACTTTTAAATGTAAATAGACAAAACTGTACACATAAGATTGAGAAATGGAAGCAATAAAGGAAAAACAATAATTTCTGAAACTGACGAGTTCATTTGATTCCTTGTCTTTCATTTTAAAAGATGTTGTGAACAACAGTATGCTGCAATGCAACTTTAAAAACTCAAAAATGACCACAGAGAAGAATCAGTGTCACAGTTTGAGCAAAAACTGCAATCATTTGTTTGATATTCAGATAATTATTGCAGACCATGCAGTATCCACCTGCTAGGGTTTTTAAAGAGCCTTCAGTCTTCATCAGCAGGTAATCAGGTAAACAGCTTGTGATTTCATCCAATACACTTTCAGGTAGAGGCGGACGAAGTACTCAGATCCTTTACTTTAGTTGAAGTACCAGTACAACACTATGATACTGCAAGTAACATGCCTCCATTCTGAATCCTAGAGAAGTATTATCTGTCTCTCATGTAGTTAAAGAAACGGTAGTAAAAGTACTTCAGATATCAGTCACAGGAGATATTTCTGTGTCTTTACATTCATATATTGGTAACTTGTGGTACTTTTATCCAAATCCTTGTTCTACCACTGCAGATAACCTGGAACTAACAAGCATATCTCTCTTCTAGGCAAATATTTCCCATCAGCTCTCAGGGGCAAAACACCTCCCTGAGATTCTCTACCAAAATCACAATCTGTCAGGGTGCACTTTGAATCTTTGACCACTGTGTGGCGCTGTGGATCAAGTCAGGAAGTTCAAAACTGTTCAGTCACTGTTCAGTTGGGTCCATCAGGTGTCCGTCTTGGCTGCGGTTTTTGTTTTGCATGTATGGATTTCATGAGATTCCGGTTTCAGAACGATTTCAGAAACATTTGAGGTTTAGGAGGTTCTTGTGGAGAAATGTTAATAACAAATGTTGTAATAAAATTTTTTTGGCACAATAAGAAAACATGCAATGTAAATATAGAAAAAACAGATCTGCATTGTCCCAAAAAATTATGTAAGCTATAAAAAAACTATTTACTGCATTATATTATTCTGAATTGTCACCTGCCACCTGAATTTTGTTTCCCCTTTTTCACCATAAATTGGTGCAGAAAATGTCTCCAGAATGCAGGAAATTAAGTGCTTAATGCTCAAAATCTTCCCCAGAATTATATATCATCAATGAATATTTCTTTGCTGCTAGTCTTGACCCCAGTATTCTGCATTGTCACATCTCTAATCTCCGCCCACACAAAGTGACGCCCTTGCACCAGCAGCATCGGGCTCAAACTAAGCGTATCTAATGTCCTGAGAGTGATTCCAGAAATTATGATTTATTTTTAGGGGAGTCTAAAACCAGATGTTCTGCAACCTTTCCTCAGAATGGATGTTTCGAACGCAGCGAGCTACGCTCAACTCAAGTTTGCAAAAGATAGAAACACAAACTACTTTAACCTGCACTGCTTAAATGAGACCTGTTATTCTGCTTTTCTGGCCCTATATTGTAGTTCTGTGACTCCTGCATGGCAGCTTTGCATGATTCAGAGTTCAAGTTTTCTTATACCGGCTCTTCATGTAGGCCCTCATTTCAGCCTCTGTCTGAAACAAGCTGTTGATGCTCCTGTCTCTTTAAGCCCCCCCCTCTCAAAGCCCACTGTCTTCTGATTGGCCAAGACCTGAAGCATGTTACCAGGCTGTTGTTTGCTGGGCGGAACAGGCAGACTGAGCGTTAGTGTGGGAGCAAATGACCATATATGGAACCGCGGCTCCGTCTGTCTCCGTGTGTCGTAGAACAGGCCGTTTTCATCTCGGGACGCCAAAGGTACCCTACACAGACCAGAAGTACTAGGTAGCTACGTTCGTGTTAAAGGTGTTGACGGCCCCCCGAAGCCCCCTACCCTCACCACAACCATCAGAAATGTTAGTACCTAAAGTCACTGACTTTATGCATGTCGACTAGCAGGCAGGGTTAGCCTCCTTTGTGTTGCTGGGACGTAGCAAACGGTGGCGTTTCAAATGGACGCCTTTAGCGTAAAATACTCACGCTTTCTGAACGCATCAGTTATGGCGCATTGAGATGAGGACGGGTTGCGCAGAACGCGAACATCCAGAACAGGAGGAAATCTGAGGTTTTGGCTCACAGGGATTTCTCATAAATACTTTAACCTCATTATTTGAAGCTTTGGCCGTGTTCAGCATGAACATCTGACTTTGTAACATTAAGTCATTCAATGTGGAAAAGCGTAACAGGTCTCCTTTAATGCCACGCTAAAACAACCTAATGCTGCTGAGGTGGACGTTTGTCTGGCTGCTCTGTAATCTCAGCGTGATGTTCATAAAGTCAGCCTAACACTTGTTGTGCGGTCGGTTATAGTTGACTAACGTATGTAAACTTGCCACAGTAGCAACACAGCGGTTACATAACCTTCGAAACAAGCCACAACTTCACCTCGCGTGTCCCTCACGGTTCTGCTCCAGCACTTAAACAAACAGCACTACACCTCTGATGGCTGCACTGACAGATTGATTATCGCTCACATTAGCTTTTCCCAGTCGTTATGTCTTTAATGAACTCCCATAAAGTCCCTGACTCGCTGTCCAAACTGAGATATGCGAGAGAACAAATACACAGTTTGTTCCTCAAACTGCCAGGAGCTGTGTACGTGTTTTCGTGTGGAAGAGGTCAGATGAAGCTGCAGACAAATATCCGTATTGTCAGGATGCAGCAGCGTGTCTGTCCTGGAGGAATAACAGAATATCAAGTGGTTATTATTTTTAATGTTTTGATTTTTGCTCCAAACTCTTGACAAACAAGACACAAGGCGTTTTATTTATGAGGCGGGTCGAGGCCTGAAGCCAGGACTCGTGTGGCTGCCGGGCGACGGTGGTTGATTTGGTGTGTGGCTTCAGATAAACACAGCGATCTGGGCACCAAAACATAACACACACAAAGAGAGTTGATCAGTAAGACGGATTTAGAGAGCTGGGATGTGTGCAGACCAAAGGCGCATGGTTCATTCAGGTGTGTGAGTGTAGGCGGGAGACAGACCGGAGACCTCACATGAACCACTTCACGTGCACTTTCAGAACGCGTGTTTGACTACTGTGGACGTAAAGTAATCTCACTTAGACATGAATTTGCGGCAGCACGTCTGCTGGTCCTCTCTCATAAAGAAGATGGTAAAGAAAGAGAACCAATCATGTAGCATGGGGTAAGACGCCCCCCCCCCAAGCTCAACGTCTATTTGCTGATGCATAAAATAATATTTTATAGGTTTTTTTGGAGGCCATGCTGTAGGGTAACACAAAGTGAAATAAATAGCTACAGTTGAGAAATTAATTTGTATTTAATCAAATGTAATTTTTTAGGGAGAAGGCATTTTTCCATATGGGGTAAGATGAACATGTCGTTCAATCTGAAAATTTTGCAAACTGGTGGAAAACGTTTTGAGATTGAAATCGCCCCTGATGTCTTGGAGTGGACGGAAATGACTGAAGCATCTTTTTACCGTAAGTGTTGTAATATAGGGGAAATTGCCTGGACACAGTGATTCTCAACATAGAAACAATTTGCGACAGGGCCCCTTGCTCTCAGCGCCCTTGGTTAAGACGTCTCCAGAGTATCCAAGACTTCATGAACACATAGTTTACCACGACCCTGTCTGATCTTTATCCGTGAATGTGTGTTTAATCATTGTCATTTGGAAGTCTCAGAGGTTTCACTTGTCTGATTGTTGAGCCAAAAGCATCAGTCATTCTGTTTTCTTTCTTTCCCAATATTTTAATCTGTCGTAGCTTTCTCTGATTCAGTTCGTCATCGTCTCTTCTGTGTTCGATAGTTCGTGGCAGCCTGCGGTGGTCAGCAGTGCAAAGAGTTCAGACGTGATTATAGGAACAAGGCCAGAAGACGCTGAGATACATCAGACAGAGAGAGATTTCACACCTGCGCACACCTGGTGTTGTTCTTGGCCTTTTACTTAATCACATGTGTGGTTTGTGTGTGTGCTTCTCTGTTGTTGTGGTAACGGTTTGCCGACATGATGTGTGGAATGATAACACTAAGTGAACCTGGCAGAACGGAACGCCTTCACTCACTGTTTGGTTTTTCTTACATCTCTCATCGCACTGAAACTGCAGCGCCGCTAACGATATTCTGTTTACAAACGAGAGTCTTCATGCCACTTTCTACTTCTGCTCCTCTACAATACTGCAATACTACTGGGAATACTGCACTTTTCACTTCACAGCTTTAGTTACCAGTTCCTTTATTACTCAGCGATGTTTCCACATAAAACATATGAAAAGCTTATAAAATATGTTTTGCCAACTACCCAAACATTTTATACAAACGCAGCCTAAACGATCGCTCTGTTAATCAATTAGTCATCAATAGATCAATTAATCAGTTTGACTGTTGACTGGTCAAA